TATATAATAATCATTAATAGTATAATACATTTTTTCCAAAAGTAGTACAAGTCGATTTTTAAAAACTCTAGTAGGAAGATCTTTAATTGTTTTTGGTAAATTATTAAAAACCTTGCATACAAAAGGTGTTTTTCTTATACAATTCCAGATTAATTTTTGGCACAGCCAATTTCTCCCCATGTTTACTTCGATATTGTGCATTCTCGTTGACTTAAACATATTTATGTTTTGTGAATAAGGTCATTTTTAGAATATACATATAGAGAAGAGATAAAGTTGAGCAGCTTAAACGAAGGTACGTACGTACGTACGAAAATACATTTTCTTTAAGCCTTAAATACCCTATTTACTTCGACTGAATTTCCCCATACTATAATTCCATATTTAAGTGTAGAGGAAGCATATGCATGATAAGCAGCTAATACCGTTTAACACATAAACGAAGCTGTCTATGTTGTTATATAATTTAAGGTTAAATAATATGAGATTAACCGTTTATATTGTTAAGTAATGACTTTTTCTTATGTTCGCAATTACACTTGCTTGTATGGCGTTGTTAATATCGTGAGGCTGCTCCGAAACCGCTGTGAGAGTTCGAAAAGTGAGTTACAGAATCGCAAGGCAGACCTAATCTCCATCTGTTTTATTAACCATTTTTCTTTTTAAATAAGTAGACGAGCAGCCTTCTATGCATGATACACATCAAGGATCTTAGGCATACCGATTTCCTCACGATATTAACAACGCCCCACTGCATTTAGTTTATAAATCGTATACGAGAGGCTCCCAAACTAATTTATATCTGTATATTTTCTAAAAATCTATTTTTTTATTGCATTGCTTTAATTTTTGTCTGCAATAATCATAGACTATTCTTATTATTATTTATATGACATATTACAGGATACAAGAATTTTGAATTTAACCTAAAATATAGGTGTAACTAGTTTAATAATTGTGGTATTTAAATAAAACCCACAGATTCTTTTTTACCTTCTCAAATTCTGGAAAATGATGGTTTGTTAATTGTCTTATGTCACGAAGGTACCAAAGGTGATAAATATCTCGTTGTGAACGAGATAATTAGAGTGTGAGGTTCCTTTCATCGCGTGATGGATGGGCGCAAGTTCTTGGTTGCACTTAGCTCCTAACTCTTGGCACTCGTTATTTTACTCATTTCCTTTGATTTTACACTAATTGTCAACTAATTTATAAGCTCGGCCGTCCTAATTATACGATTAATGTATATAATTTGTGCGTCGTCACTTATTTACGTACAAAGTAACTTTAGTCAGAGTGTTGAAGGAAAATAACTCAGATGAAAAATTACTATTTTGTTTAACATATGTAAAGTATGTTTACATGTTCAAATTTCTCATAATGTTATGATTTCATTTTGCATTATACGCTGGAAAGAGTTTTCGTATTTTTCCTTTTATATAAATGACACGATAGTTCTTATATTATTAAGCTAAGTAAAAGACCATCGGCTTTAGGTATATGAAATTGATTATTTTGACGTAAGCTAATATGTAAGTATTTAGGATTTTTAAGAATTAGTAAATGTCAGTAAAGTCGTATCCGCTATTGTAGAGAGGAATGCGACCCACATTACATCTTTGTGTCCACAAATAGCGCAGCTGAAACAGGCAGGGCGGGACCAAATTAGCGCGCCCGTCCACTGGCGCTGTCGTCCACCGCGCTGGTGGACACTAGCAGTACTTTCTTGACCATTCTTATAGAAGGTAAAGGCTATCTTAAGATAGACTTAAGCCATAAGATCATGTATACTGATACAGATCTATCTACATATTGCTAAAAAATGAGAAATAGACACGAATTCATAATATACGTTTCCAATTATATACATTTAATTGAATTCAAGATTTAAATGAAACATTAAATATTGTTTTCGTGTACTGTATACAATTCTAGTAAAAAATATTTTCCTATGCAAAATAGCGATGTGGCCCTGGTCTGTAGATAGTGATCAGCTAGTTGGCTCTGCTCTTGAGAGATCGTGAATCATCTGGGATTAACGATGCTAACAACCTAGTCTTTAGGTAGAAGGAAAACTCAACTAATGAAAGCCTAAATCATTGTTATTTAAAGTCAAACGACCAAATCAATTTTCCTTACAAATTTAAGGAAGGTATTTTTTTATCCGCCGAAAATATGTGAGTATCACATATCGTGTAAAAAAGATGGTTCTAGGGTTAGCTTAAAGTGTACCTGACAGTTCGCTGGACCAAATGACTCAGCTATTTTAACTAAGAAACCTAATATCGCACGACCGGCTCCGTCTGCCAAGTCTATTCTTACAATCCTCATATCATTGTAGTTTTATTTGAAACCTTCGGCAACTGGACTGTAAGCTCAAAATACTCTGCTAATAACGTTTAAAAATAATTACTAAATTTAAATTTTCAGTTCAGTTGTTAAGGTTCACTTTGCAACGACACTTGTATAGAAGAGTATTCATTTCGGTTCCATGTCCACCCCCTGTACCTCAGTTGTTTATTCGATGCAATTGAAGCTAAGGCATAATTTGAAAAGGTAGTTTTGGCAATTTTCAACAAGGTAGAATTCCACTGTATAATAAAACCAGATTATACCCTTGAGGTCCTGGTCTAATCCAAAAGCGAATTGTGAGCTAGTGGAATTCTGAAATGTTGTCATGTACGAAATGTCTTAAGTAAATAATTCTTTTGAAAATAGCGAACGTTTGGAAATCCTTGTTCAGTTCGATTTTTCCTTAACAGAACCAGAGAACATGGTTTCAGGCAAGCGGCGCCTAAATCCAATTCTGGCTGGTCTAGAGCTGTAGTCATTCCATAAATCCGTGGCCAGCATTGCGAAAATAAATTTTCCCCTCGGATCAACAGATCGAATGAAATAGATGTATATTTTTATCGTTATTTACTATTTTACTAGTTTATAATTAGATATTACATATCATTAAAATATTAATATATAATAATTAAAATATGCAGCATTTATATGTAATAACCATTCGATTAAAATACTGGTATCAAACTATTATTATCATACACATAATTTAAAAAGAGGAAACATAGATTTTCTGTCTACCATCCTGGTCAAAGATATTATAAGTATATATATATATACCAAAATTAAAGTGGGCGTTCGTATGGGAATTAAGAAATAGATTATATATAGTACCAAATAGCTATGCAACACATAAATTATTTGGAAGATAAATTTAGCATTTGACACTACATCGGACTCATAACTTATGATGGACTTTATGTGACGAATAACGCTATCTGACAGTCGTGAAACGCAACAATAGTGTTTATCCTACCAATAAGTAATAAATAGCTAATTCGGAACTTATCCGTACATTGTGAAACAGATCCTTAATCTAATACTAAAAACATTATCTACATAATACAGATACTGTGTGCAATGTCAATTGGATTGCTGGCGAAAGCCCGCATTTTTTCTCGACATAAATGTTAAAAGTTCGGAATCTACGCATTTAAAAGTTACACATTATGTTTATTTTTACAAAAATTCAATTTACGATCGCAATCGTTACTACTAATAAATATCATTTTGTTTATTTTATTACTGCTCTTAGACTGCTATTGAACGATCTATGAGCAAAATCCATGTTTGTTTTTGCAAAAATGTTTGCAAGTACCTAGGACTAACTATTATAAGCTATCTTACCAAAAAGTACGCACGGTATACTTTTGATAAACTTGTGTTTCGGTCTACGGTGTAGTGTTAGGTGCTAAGACCAAGAACTCACGATACGAGTCCTTATAAAGCTTTACCTTTTCGATACGTTCCTTCAAGTAAAATAAGTGAAATTCAAGACACGATATCATAAGATAAAACATTTAAAACGCATTCTGAAACAACCGCACACATTCCTACTTTTAAATCGCACTTAAATTTCTTGTAACTAAGAACTGTAATCATGAATATCTTTTGCGCAAATCGCGACGGATAAGGTCAAAAAACTAGGTGACCCAAAAATAGCATTTGGCGTCGTATGTGATGATTCACGTCGTCGTTTGGTCTCTTCCTGGCCCTTGTTTATTAATAGCGTAACTATGTCCAGCTATTTTGGGATCTGCGAGATGTCTGGATGGTACACCTGCGAATGCTTCACATTCATGAATAAGATGTTATTAATCCGGCTGACGGTCGAGTAAGCCGTTAGAGACCTCTTGTTTCCGACTATCATCAATCAATCTAGACGAAACATTCAATATTGGGGTTTGTATATAAATAGTCTCGAGAAATAACAAATTAACCGATTCTGACGTCATTGAATGAGTAATCCGCTTTTCTTTTGATATTCTGTAGATTGAATTGACTCTAATTCTGATCATTCTTAAAATAAGATTAGGATTTACTCCAGTTTCATATCGCTGTATATAAATAAGCAAACCATGCATGTATAACATTTATTTTTTCGTGTTATCTTATGGGAATAAAAATCCTAAATATTCTATTTGTTTCAAATACCATCTTAATAAAAAAAAATTTTATAGAAATATTTAGAGTTAAAGAATAAAGCGCAAGAATATAAAAAACTACAGCATTTGTGCTTTTAAATAAATGGAAATTCCTTGCTTTATAATAAGTAAAAAATGATAATAATAAAATATATTCCATTCATAAATAACTTATTGAAAAGTTTTCATTTATTGACAACTGACGGTAGCGGTATGTTTGACGTAAAATCCGGAACTACAGATAATAACACTATATACTGTAAGCTGTGCATCGATGCCCATCGGAATGTATTGACGTAACACGGTCGGTATATTTAACTTGAATAGATACTGCATCCGCTTATGTCTAACCATATCTGGTCATCCTCGAGATCTTACTTTCAGAACATAAAGGCGATATGTAGTAAAAGTTTAATAAATGCTTAAATTATAAAAACTCCAGTTTAAACTTATATCTGGTACAAACAATTGATTATGAAAACACCAGTGTATATGTTATGGTATTGGTTAATAGGAATATGGCCGACTTTTTCGAGGAGTAACTTCAACTGATAGCGGCGGAGGATTCGGTGCGGACGCACAGAGCAGTGGACGCAGCATGTTACTCCACATATTACCTAAGATTCCAATCAGCCCGATTACTGATAGTCCCAGCAGGAAACCCTGTACAGTATTCTTTTATAATTATGCATTAAATTTAGTTTTAAATATAGCTGAAGGTAATCTCAATTTATTACGATTACAATTATTACGATTCAATATATCTTTAGTTTTTTTAAAGTATTATTTTACGTTCAATAGGTATTCCTGGAATGTAAAGATGGGTCCTCGACACTATCAAATATGATAAGGGTTCGAAAATGTTCTTTTCATGAAATGGTTTTATGAAGGAAGGGAGGGACATTGAACAAGATAGCAAAACTTAAGCAATCTCAGCCGATACTATTTTGTTTTAAATTGTCTCTAATACTGATAAGAATAAAGTACCAAACTAAATTAAATGAATAACGCTTCAGCTATTTTAAACAAACAATCGGCTGTTGGGATGGCACTTCGCCAAGTATCAAGGAACAACTAATGAGCTGAATTCACACAGAAGTTATACAAATATATGGAAATACCTAAAATACACCTCGTACGTCATCTGATTAATATTCTGCGTATTTGCTTTTAAATCCATTCCTTACAAGACAACATGTATATAGACCGTTACCTTGCAGCTTGAGACGCCCTTGCGCTAGTCGCAGAAAAACCGCCCATTCAGGCCGAGCTACGCTCGCCAAAACAGCCCGAGTTGAGCCCTTAAGGCCAACAGCGAGATTTCATTAAAAAAAAAGTAACGATGTCTATAACTTGCCGGTAACGCACTCGCGAGCCTTCTGGCAGTGTGAGTGTCCATGGGCGGCGGTATCACTTAACATCAGGTGAGCCTCCTGCCCGTTTACCTCCTATTAGAAAAAAATATAGTTTCCATAACCATAGAGCAGCTGAAATTTTTGAGCAATAAACTCATAGAGAAAGAATCGATGCAACAATATAAAAGGCATACACACCACGCTGCCACCCAGGTCTGAGAGAAACACATTCCAGTCATAATTGTATTTTTCTTCGAACACCGATACCATCATATTGTTGAAGTGAATATAGACCTGTGTTTGTAGAGATCAAAATAAAATAAGTTAAAATCCTTTGCATTGTAAACCTAATAACATGACGTTGTTCACCTATGATTGGTCAGCCATTTCTGCCATTAAATATATACTACTATGAATAAACTAATGTCACGGATTTATTAAATAAATTCACTACTTACATAGGTAAGATACACACATAAGGTATTACCTGTGTTTGAAGATTCGCTACGCTAGTGGTACTAGCCCAGACATTGGTTTGAGCGTCCCAGGTGTAGAACTTCTGTCTGTCGACGACGAATGCGCTATACAGCAGAGAACGACATATCCGCGGGCAAATTTCACAGGCATGATTAATATATTTACTGAAACATAATTGCATAGGTCATGTAGAAATAAGTACATTACGTGAGTTTGATTATTAAAAATCTCAATATATTGGTTCCATATGTCCCCAGTTTCAGTACAAACAATTTAATCTCCTAATTAGTTTTTAGATAATAGTTGAACACATTAAATACTCACTCGATATAAGCAGATATAAGGCTTCTCATATCTCTGAAGTTATCACAGCGTTGTAAGGAAATGTTCATCCAGGGTCCAGAACAGTTTACCTGTCTTCCAACCTCTTCCCATACGTACATTGCTGTGCACTGTAATGTTAATTCTAGCTGTATATTTATTATGAAGTTATATTACGTTACAGATAATCTAATTTATACATAGTAGGGACTATGTTTAGAAAACTTACACTTCGTATACAGGTATGAAACTAAAAATGGAAGCACGTACATACAATCTTTTTAAATTGTGATTAAACAATTTCAAAAGCGTAGAAAATTTTATGTTCGTGCTCTCATCAATTTAAGTACGTATGCTATTTGTTTTAAAGGTTTTTTGTAAATCTATTGCTATATAGAATATATTGCTTAACTAACATAATTAGCGCTGTAGGCAGGTTCAGTAGAGCAAGGATTCAGGTCGTCGCTGATCATGACGTATTCGTTGACTGATAGCTTTACATCCAATGTCTCACCGGTGTTTACGTACAGATAGTCAACCAGCCCACCGTTGTATACTTCTACTTCTGTTCAAATAAACATATTAAGCTTTTTTGGTGTTATTATGGTTTCGAAAATTAAAACCCTGTTAAATTCGGTCTAGTCACACATTTGTGTACGAATTTCAGGTATTTCGTGCACACATTGAAACATTCTGATAATTAATATGTTTTTTAATTAATTTTTTTCTAAACCATTATGAACCTAGGTTTTTTCACTACATGTAAGTATCGATAACTTATATCTTAACCTAAATATACACATACAGATCATATGCCTCGCTAGCTTTTGTTTTTAAAGTGTCAAATTTTATACTCTTAATACAAACAATAGGTTTAAAGTATAACAATAAACTTAGACCAGTATACGGCTCCTTCTCAAAATGCACATAGACATGGTAGCCAGGTGGTGAAATGCTGGTAGAGGAGGTAATGTCCTCTTGGGTGTGCTGCAGGGTGATGGAGTAGCCCCGAGCCTTCGTCGCTTGGGTGTCCTTAATACGAGGTGTGAGCGTATAGCAACGACCGTTCACGAAACCCATACTCGGTGTTAACTCCACATCTGGTTAAAATAATATGTTGTGTAAAGGATTTTGGACCAAATTTCTGCGTATCATTGATATTTTATTAATGACCTACAAAGCTCATAATTTGCTGATAATTACTCTCTAATCTCTATCTATTTGTATCCAATTAAAACACAAAAGCCATTCAAGCCACTACGACAGGTTACGCGCAGCTTTGACTAATTTTATAGAGAATTATTGACAACTACAAATGTTCGTTTCTATGTGAATGTTTGTATGGTACAGGTAAGTTTCTTTACTAGAGCTATTAAAACAATGAACATTGAAAAGACAATTTAGATATTTACTATCTCTAAGTGAGTCTAAGCCATATTGAACGAAGAAGTCGTCAGCGTTGTATGTGATCTCATCCCATAGTTGATCAAGAGAGATCGCAGAGAAGTTGAAGTCTCTCCAGGTAGACGTGTATCGAGGATGTGAAGACAGCCCATATTCCTAAAATAACCAAAACAATATCACTTAAAAATTAATTGAAATTACGATAATTTTTTTCCAGTTTTGATAAAGTTGCAATTTTTATATCTTAAAGCGTAATACGAAATTCTACCCGTATCACCTATACGTTCATCGTTACACAGCTGAGCGGTATTTAAGTCATTTTTTTCCGCGCACCACCAGTATGTGGATACCACCTATCCATCGAAGCATTTCCGAATCAATTCGACTAGGGTCCTACAAGAAAAGATCGTACCTACTCGTAAAAGTCTGGCTAGGCAGTTCCGTGCCTTCTGACATTGTATGTGTAAATAGGCGGCGGTATTTTTTAAGTATAAAAAAGTATTCATGGTGAGCCTCCTGCTTCTGTTACTTTGTTTTGTTGAACGTGCTATCTCGACATCGATATAAGGAACGGGTTCGAATGGAAAATCGGAATTTACTAGATATTCTATAATCTAGCAGGACTTACGCAATGATTAAATTTAATATAACAGCTTTAATTCAAATATTTTTATCCAGGCCTACCTACCTGCAGCTTAGCATGTTTGTATGGAGGTTCCCGGCAGAACGTGACGCTGGGGTAGGCGATGGTCTTGTTAAAGTCGAAGTGCGTATGTGTTGTGACTGGGATATTGGTCAACTTCTGGATGCATGTTATAATCTGACGATCGACAAAAAAATTAAGTACCCAACCATAGTGAGGAATATGTCTTATCTTATACATACCTAGGTACCCTATTTGGGTTTTTTGCTCAGATTGCATGCGTTTCTTTGATCATTTTTATTTCATAGACAGGTAGGTAAGCCTTCTACGACTGACATGTACCGTCGTTATTTTGCGTCTAAAGCCAGTTTCCTTACAATGTTTTGCGTCACCGTACGCAGGTGTTAGATACGCATATAGAATGTCCTTTGATGCTCAGACGGGGATCGGACCTACGACCTTAGGCATGAAGCCACTAGGCCAACACTGCTTAAATCCACTAGGTGAACGACTGTTATAACGATTTATATAATATAAACGTATCTAAGTCACTGATAATTTTTAAACGAAACAACCATTGTGACTTCGATTTACGCCGAACACAACAAAGTTTTAAATTATGTTCTCATGATAGCAAGAGTAAGACAATTTAACTCAGTAAGATATTTAATTTTAATAAATATGGGTTGAATTGTTAACCTCCTTCGGGGTTGTTTAAAATTATTTAAAAACATCTTATTCGTCTCAGTGTAAAATGTAGATACCGAATACCTCAAACATTTACATATTTAGTATGATACACTCATTATAACCCAAAACTTAAAACAAGGCAGACAGACAGACATATCATTTATTAGAAACAAAAACATACACACACATAAACACATAAACACACATATAACAATAATTAAAGAAAAAAAATATAATGAGAGATATATAAAAAAATATATTTTAAAACAACTACCCATAATTTAAAAAAAAATGTACCTGATACACGACAATAATCAAACAAGCCATGACCACGATAGTTTTGATTAAATTGGGACCTTTGAAGCAATTGACACACTGCTCCCGGATCCTGGACACGTGGTCCACTTTTTCCTCCTATACATATATCATAATGCGAATAACACAATAAGTCAAAAAAAAAATTAATATTTAGTTACTACGCATACGGAAGTTATTTAATCCAACTGCAATTATTTTAGTTAAAATAATTAGACTTTAGACCCGTCTCACCTCCCTCGGACAAGGAAAAACGCCGGGGCGGCCGCAGAGTAGGCGGAAAATAATAAACGGCTCAAATATAAGAGTCTTTCCTCCAACTTCAATTTTGTTCCCTTTGGAGAAGAGACTCTTGGGCCGTGGGGTTCAAGTGCACAGGCGCTAATAAAAGATTTAAGTTGGCGCCTGGTAGACAGTACCGTTGACCCCAGAGCTGGTGCTTTCCTCGAATGAGTATCGCAATACAGCAAGGAAATACTGCCAGCGTTAAAGGTACACTGCCACAGAGACCAAACTTTTTAAATTTGTTTTAATTTTTATTTTAATAATTGTTAATTATTTTTATTATTACTTCGTAGGTTAAGAAAATTGTAAATACTTTATATTTGATTGTTATGTTTAGGTTTTTATAAACGATAATTTAGTTAATATATATTGGTAACTATGTGTCTGACTCGGAGTCGAAACTTATACACCATTATAGTTAGCGCTTTAATAGGGTTTGAAGATAATCTTAAAAGAACATTACTACAACGTTTTTAAATATTCCAAATTACAAATCTTCCTCTAAGTTATAAAGACGCCAATAAAATTTACGAGAGTGAAAAATAATATTGAAACAATATTTTCAGTTATTACTTACAGTTTCCTCGACTTTTAGCGACATGTTAGTAGCACACTAAACACGGCGACAGTAGACTGTAGATGGATGTTGATAGTCCTATCTAAATTGGCTAATGTTGAGTGCAATAAATTACTTGTATTGCAGTCACGGGATTAACGAAAATTAAATACCAAAGTGTGTGTAAATCATCGCAATACAAGGTCGAGGACTCCGAGTAAAACTGTTGTATCTATGCATAAATACCTATCAGTAAAACTTTACATCAGCCCCGGTACTGTGCAAGAGCGAATTTACAAATTTTCAAAGTAGACGCAGCGAAGTTTGTGCCGCCCTCGCCTTGACAATTGTCATGTCCTAGATTATTTTTACAATCCAACAATTTCAAATTGCACATAAATATTGTTTTGGGTTTGATTCTTGAGCAAAAATTATACAAAAACCATCCAGTTCGTAGCCTCCAACCAGTAGTAGGATTGACATGTATAAGTTGATAGGGGGAAGAGGGAAACACATTTTCTGCAATTTCAGTCTTTTCACGTTTAGGGACTTTACGGTGCGTTACATGGGGGGGGGGTCTCCAAAAATTGCGTGACGTAATACTTGAACGCTCCCTTATACAAAGTGTGGGCTGAGGCTGGGGAGAGCAGTTAGGGGGCGGCGAACTAGCTGTTTACTCTAGAATATGGAAGTTTGGTACACCAAATGACTAGTGAGAGGGGAAAGTCATCGGCAATATTTGTTGGAAACTTAAAACATCAGAAAACTTCAAAATCCTTTTTATTTCTATTACGTAGCAAAAAAAACCACCAAAAATTTGCCGCCCTTGGCTCCAGCCTATTCAGCCTGCTGGTAAACAAAATTGATAGCGGTTGAGATCCCGACTTCAATGTTGATTTTATCATGCGACTGTTGGCATACCACATCAGCGCTACGTATATCAAAATAATTATATCAGATGCCTAAACAAATTGCATACAAAAACGTCTCAACCGCTGCAAGGGGTCATGGAAAAACAATCGATGAATATTGAATATAACATTAAAATGTATATTTGGATGGAGTTTACACTAAATTGTATAATGTACTAAAATAACAATAAATTTTTTTTAGAAGATAAATTATTTACTAGTAATTAGTATTATTATATATGTATAAACTTTTATAGATATAGCCTATAGGAATAATAATGGAATGAAAATATAGATGTCCATCCGAATGACGGGCTTCTAATTTAAAAGTCCCATCAATAAGAACTATGAAATTAAATTCCTTTCCTTTTTAATTGTGGTTACGCTTTTCAACAAAACTGTTTTATTATATGTTACGTATTTGGGCGCCATCTAGTGTAATAAAGCAGTACCTTTCAAGTCGTCGTCGTCGTAGTGTCGTTAATAAATAATAGTTGTATTAAAATAGATGTCGCTACTATTATCAGTAAAAATTGAGTATTCGTAAAATCCTTAAGGTGCGCTTACACGGGCAATTAAAATTGCTCAATTCCAGTCAATACTCGTCAATTATGACGTCACGACTACATCAAGCAATTTACGGCAACGGCAACAAGCATCAATACTGCGCAATACAATATTGAGCGATATGGCGCAACTTCATCAACTAGGCAATACTGTCCTACACGAGCATTTCAGTATTCGCTCGCTATGGACGACATTGTTCTTGCTGCGGCGGCTTGTAGCGTTTTTTTATTATTCATCAAAAACAAAAAGAAAGAAAAGGAAAAGGCGTCTGGTGCGTCAAATCTGGGTGCGATCGTTTTTGGCAAAGAGGCCGCAATTTTCATTGTGAAAATAAAATTAAACAATTAAAGAAAAAAATAATTAATTAATTAAATTTTTAATTTATTATTTTTTTAATTTTTCTTTAATTCTTTAATTTAATTGTTATTTTTCAAGAATTAGATAATATATTATTCAAAAACTTTACTAGAATGTCACGAACATACTTTGAATTACTTTTGAATAAAGTAATTAGAAATTATTATTATTTAGACCTCTCGCTGCCCCCGCGGAAGCAAGACGGCAAGCCGCAAAACAAACAAGTGCGAATGAGACATATACAAAAATTGCTAGGAATTTCCAAGTCCATTGGATATTCGTCAATTCGTATCTGCGACATTGAGCGATATGAAATATCTGGAGCAATTAGAAGCAATATCGCCGAAATAATTTATTGAATTTATTGAAATTGCTCCATTAATTGCTCCAGATCGGTCCATTCGTATCGCCGAGCAATTATTGCCCTCGTGTAAGCGCACCATTAAATTGAAAAACGGAAATATATTGTACCTATTGGAATTTGTAATTCTAGTATTCCCATACCAGAATATATAATATAAATAAACGCAATAAAAAATAATTAAAATTTGATTTTTATTGCATGTCAACTTAAATTAACACATATTTACAGAGAATGTCACAAACGATTATTACATAATCTTACACTATGTTAACAACAATTACATATCACGGGTAAGGGCAAATACTAAGTACAATAACTAGCAAATAATTCGTAATCACAATAAATAATACGGTAACGTTATAAACAATTTTAACTGGCTCGGACTTTGTTACTTCGTCTATTGCACTCTACAGCCTTCAATGCGCTAGCACTTGAAATCAACTTATATTAATATAATTAACATGTTTTCGTTGACATACATATTATAGATTTTTCTTAGTTTCAACGCCATCTATAGGTGACAGTGGACAGTGGTAATGTAAGTGGGTTAGCAACCGCATATTTTTACTTTGCAAAGAACGTTGGTCAAATATATTTGAGTACAATAGAACCGCTTTTAAGTTTTAGAAAAACAAGTTTTGTGTCTATTTGATATGTAAATCCATAAACTTTAATAAGATGCGGAACAGTCACGTTTAATTTAGTCTTCATAATAAAAAAGTAATTATCGATTCATCGCCTACACTAAATTTTAAATCACAGACCGTATCAAACACTTATTCAAATTAATGGCGTCTTTGCCAACAAATTATTTACATAAAATATCCCGTTTCGCTGACGATTATTTAATTAATAAACTGATATAAAGCACAACAAACTGATAGTGAGCGTCAGTAAAGAGATAGGCGACGAAATCGCACTTGAATTAGGTTTAACTTTAGCGGCTATATTAACCGTCACATTCTTAATCTTATTAACAAACTTATCTAAAATGTCTGATCTTGGCGTAATATCGCATGCTGTATGACTGATTGCACTTAATACTGGCGCAGAGAACACTCTGAAATTAACATCGTTAGAGTCCAGCTTCCCATACATCCATATTGGCATTCTATTCGATAACACCCAAAGGTTCTCCTCATAGTCTACCTTTATATCTGTCGGGTATATCATTTTCTCGTCGTCCATATAAATTCTTCCTTGATTTTTCATGAGGTACTCCTTATTCGTGGTCCTCCAACACGCCACTGCGTTGAGATTCACAAGAGAATAGAACAACACTCCCGTTTTTGGGTCTACGAAGGACGCACTGGATTGGGCGTTAGGTCCCCTACTTCCAAGCAGCTTGAAGGCATTAAAGTTAGCATCTGCCACTGTCTGGTTTCTGAGGTATTCCGTAGAAACGGCGAACTCATTGTAACTCGCCATCGGATGGAAGTATAGAGTGCTGTAGTTATCAGCATTTGGCGCTGAGAGACTTAAACCAAAGAGAGCGTCTGTCCAGCTGAAGTTGTGCCCTTTAACGCTGAAATCGCAGGCTAATGGGTCCGGGTGGAAGTAGTGATGGGTTATCCTCCAGGATTCGTTCTTTTTCCAAGAGTATACGACTATCCCTGGTTTTCCCAAGTCACCGGCATATGCGTAAGTGTCCTCGCAGTCGACGTCTTCGACAGCGATATTGGCGAAACCGGATTCTTCTTTGACCTGATCATCGGGAAAGACATAGTTGCGGAGGAGAGTGTCAGTTAGGAGGTCATATATGAGAATAGCTGGTGGGTATTTAACGGTATCGTTCTCAAGGTTTCCAATTTTTCCATTGTCGAGGATCCATAGACGGTTGCATTTGTCAGCGCGCACCCTAAACGGCGACACTATCGTGGGTTTCCCATTATTCATGTCGTGTGCCGCCCAGTTAGGGTAAGGGATCAAAGCCGGTGATTTCGTTGAGTTATCTGAAAATAGTAAAATTTTTGAAGCTGGTACCATGTAGAATATATAAAAGCGCGTTGAGAAACCAATATAATAAACCGGTACCAATAAATGCATGAATTGCAAACAACTACGTTTTTGTGTTAAACGGAAGAGCTTAGTAATATCACGTTAAGAAATTAAAGGAAACCGGAAAGGTGATTACTTTGCTTAACTCAACGAAAACCTTAGTTTTTGTATGTTATATCAAATTTTTCAACGATTTAATTAGAAATAATGAAAACGTTAAAATTTCTAAACAAACAGTATTGAATATTCATGTACCAGCTATGTTTACAGTTTATTTTAAAATAAATTAGTGTTTCACTTTTGTCTAGTCTGAACAAATTAATCAATACAACTTAAGACTAACATAAAATTTCTCTTACGTTAAATGTTAGTATTATGACATCTCAATGATAGTCGTATTGTGTTACTTTTTAATATTCTTCATATAAAAGCAGGACGCCGTTAGAAGGCAAAATGTCAATTGATTGCACAAGTTAGCCTAGTTAGGACGAGTTACCATTTAAGTTGATGTAGGTGAGGCTAGCTGGTACTCCATTCCGCCATCGGGGTACTGTTATGAAGAGCCTGTCTCTATGTCTCTCTATACCCATAGGCATGCCATTGCCAGGTATAAATTCTCCTGATGCCAAGGCAGTATTTCGTACCTCCTCACTGGGCCATTGGTAATCAAGCTGTTTCCACTCATACAATAAATCCAACTGTTCCATACAAGTGCCGATGTACACCACCTGAAGGATCACCAGGCTCCATAGAAGCCGCATCGCAAATCTGAAAATGTAAAGTATAATTGTCACCATAAAAATATAAAAAAAACCAGTATAAAAATAGCATCACGCAATAATAGCGTGGTTTGTAAGAGCTGTTGCAAAAAACTATTGTAATAATAATCTTAATTGTATTATTAACAACCAATTACAAATCAATCGAGCCCAGTAGGAGGAAATCCGTGTTAGTAATAGATATAGTCTTTTGGATTGGATTAAATATAGTTTGTATATTTCCCAAAGAAATAGACAAATTTTATACAATTGTGTTTTTTAGTAATACGATATTTAAGTAAACTTTTAAGAGATTCAAATGGAATTACAAACAAAGTGATTGGTATTTTGGCTGCACCGTTTTTAATTATCATGAACGCTACTATAAAATATAGTTTTATAGTAGTATTTTATATTTTCTTAAATAATAAACATATAACTTTTGCTAATGACTCAAGCCTTTGATCTCCAGTAATTCATGCTTGAGTCTTTGTTTGAAAAATAAACCCCGATCCGGTTATATGTTAGTTCAGTGACATTGAGCTTTCCGAAGGTTATTATTTTAAGAATTCTACCAAAATTATAAATTAATACTAATTTATTTTACATCCAAAACTAGTAAACCTATTATGAACAATATTTCACCAATATGGTATAAATATTAACGGTTTTAGCTGTAATAAAATTGAAACGACTATATCGAAGTGATAATTTCTACGAATGGGAAATATACAGAGTACAGACAATATTGATAGCCAGGTCTGTTTAACACTCATTTGCGTCGTTACAATTTAGTACCAGTTAGCTTGGTATAATTAATAATTATTAGTGTCGATCTATCAATCTGAGACAGCTAGTTTTTCATACATTATGAATCAAAGGGGTTGTTTTTATCTATTTGTATTGTGAGCAGTTTTGGCCTAGTGGCTTCAGCGTGAGACTTTCATCCCTGAGGTCGTAGGTTCGATCCCCGGCTGTGCACCAATGGACTTTCTTTCGAACGGTGAAGGAAAGCATCGTGAGGAAACCGACATGTCTAGACCCAAAAATTCGACGGCGTGTGTCAGGCATAGGAGGCTTACTTGCCTATTAGATTGAAAAATGATCATGAAACAGATTCAGAAATCTGAGGGTTGTATATTTTTTTAAATATTTGCATTGTATTTTTGTTTTCCAGAAAAAAGGATGTCGATAACAGGCTGACACTCGCGAGCTTCTGTAATTATCCAAGGGCAGCTTAATCAACATAAGATGACCCCTGCCCGTTTGCCCCCAGTCCTATGACAAATGAATTTATCTGTTTAATAATTCAATAATTTTACTTATTCAACACCTAATTAAAAATTTTAATGACTCAGCTTATAGTAGATAAGCGATCTCTTTCACGCTGTCCGAACCTGAATTTTAATCAGCAATATTCTGGTAATTTAACATTATACACAGTTTTTTACGTTTTTATAATATTTTTCGAAGATAAGGTTCGAACCGGTCGCTAATGACGTCTTAGGTCTTAGGAAATATATAGAAAAACAGACACAGTACTTCATAGGTAAGTGTTAACTTGCGTTTTATGACGGACCGTGTCTGCCATAAAGTTTAACCCACTTTCTTTGTGTATTTCTACAAACTCGCATGTAATATAACTATGTTAACAACGTGCCTACTTTTGCGCTTGCGTTTACCTAACGCGAAAAATTCTAAATTATTCTCGTTAATAGTGGCACTGTCATTATTTTATTTAAAGCAGTTTTTACTTTCATCACTGTTACGAAACTCACACCTATTTTCATTTAAGTATATTATTTTTTAAATTAGAAATCGCACTAAGACATTTGACTAATAATGACAATCAGCCAGTATCGTAATTCAAAATGGTAATCGTAATACTTCGTCTATTTTTCTTGTATCAAAGTTTTTGTCATCGTTTAGCTTGAATACCTAATAAATTGAAGGTTTACAAGTAACAAATCATATACCTAGTAGAGTTTTCGTGAACGAGGTTACGCGTATGAGCATAACCTGTGCTGACGGTGGCCCCGCAGAAGGTCATTCCTTTCTATTTCAATTAATATTATATCAGAGCCGGTGTAACCCGCCCACGGGCTAGCCCTGCTTCGTCATCATTTAGAATTGACACTATGAAAAATATTTCTAAAATTAGCTAAAAGTATTATGAATCCTTTTCGTTTGGTCGTTGATAATTAATATGAAAGTGCCTTGTAACAAACAATAAGATTTATAAGTTAAGTTTTAAAGTACTAGGATTAAGCAGAATTTTTATAGCTATTAAGGTAAACGCATTTGTTTTAGTAATATTCGCGACTAAACTTTTCAAACAGTCTTCAATGTTTTATGGACAATAAACAAACCTACATTGTTGTCTACATTTGTTGTATGTATTTTTAAAGAAACGAAATTTAAAAAAAAATCCTACTTAGAACTGGTTTTGAAATAAGTGATAAAGTTAGGCTTAAATATTTCTATATTATGTATATCCCTATTAACAACACTTCAATTTCGAGTCTACATACCAACCGGTATCAAATTTGCAATAAGCTATTTATAGTAGATATGAAAAAAAGTGTTGTTGAGAGTAATCTGTAAAAAAGATAGCTTTAAAAAGCGTAATGGAGTAAAATAACTCGTAAATACACATTAATTTATCAAAAAATCCATATACAAAATATCGAAAATAAACAGTCACGTGACATAAAACGGTCACATATTAAGGTCGATTTACATCAAACGAACATAGAGCTAGAGCTAGAACAAGAGCATTCTTTCGTAATCTTTTAGTGTAAACGAAAGCTAGAGGTATCGATTTACATCAAACGAACATAGAGCTAGAGCTAGAACACAAGAACGCTTTGAAAAGACCGCTCAGTGGCGCGAGCACGTCCGAACACGCTAGAACGCTCTAAGCGACTGTTCGCGGCTCGCGCGCTCTTGCGCCGTTTACATCAAGCGAACGAGCATTCTTAGAATATTCTATAGAATCTTTGCGAACGCACTAAGAACAACGAAAGAATGCTCTACGCCTGTTTACACTAGAAGAATTTGATGTAGTGGGGATAGAATGAGCATTCGCTCGTTTGATGTAAATCGACCTTTAGTCGAATGGTCGACGACATAGATTGCTTGTAAATAATATGTCTACGCCTGTCGAATACCATAGTATCTTGGAGATTAATTTCGTCAAAAGCAGTGTTTGATTAAAATATAATGTATGTTTATTTATGTAACCAAACAATGAGAATTAACACGTAAAAAACTAGACGTTTGTTTACGTCTTTACAGACATGTCACAGGGACTGGTACGACGCCATCTTGTGTAGAGAAGCGTTTTGGCGGGTTCTTATATTATGTATGTTTCATTTAAGTTTTTATAGGCTTTACAGAGTTGATAATAACAATTTGTATCGGTTCTATAATCACTAATAAATAATTTGAAATTGTTTTTAGAACCTTGTCAAATAGTTACTGATAAAACTACATCAAAACTGGGTACAAAAACTTAATAATTAAGTCGGGATTTCAATCGATATTAGAAATACAGAGTAATGAGTACCGGCGCAGATAGTAGCTTGGTGATACAAGGTCCCAGAACGTGACTTTTCAACAGTCGTTTAATGCGTAGATAAGTCTACGCTTATTTATACTTTCTAAATGTGTATTTTTAATAATTGATGTGTGACTTAAATTAGCTGTAGGATAACAAATAAAATAAATAATTTTAGTACCAATATGTCTTGACTTTATGATTCAAAGTGTCTCCGAGGCCAACATAAGTGCAAAAAGATTTTTTTAACCCCAGAATTTCAATTTATTCAGAAATATTTACATGATGTCTTTTCATTTACTTCTTCGCTTGTGAGCTAGCTTTTCACTCCCTTATATTGAGAGACGATTTAAATACTGTTTACTTGGATGTCAATCACAAAAATATAAACTTTAGGTCCTCAAAGCATTGGATATTTACAATAATTTCATCAGAGTTTGCAAAAATATACGATTTCATATCATACCTACAACAATGGCGCACTCACAGTATAAACTTGTTTTATCGCGGGTTTCTGTGTCATCTGTGTATATTTTACTTTTTATAACAAAATTATGACTGGTTAAAGTATTGTTTATGACACTGTATGTTTGAAGGCATAAAGCGCTGAGAACATAGCAATGATAATTTTATAAAAACGTTATCAATACAAAATCTCGGCTACGATCTAGTCTCAATAAATGTAATTAATACATTTTTAATCCCCCTTATAAAAAGTTGGTAAAATTGCAGCGCTTTAACAGCGGTCTGTCTGTCAGCGCAAATTGAATATAAGAAAAAAAGAGGAAAATGTAGTTTAGTGAAAAAGAATGCAACAACACTTATACACTTCAATGAATAAAGATAATAGTGTATATAAAATTATTTAAACCGAAACACGTCAGAACTCACAGTGATTTGACAATTGACAATCGTTTTATTACCGCAGATTATTTCAAAAGAACATATTTACGCCTGGAAGTCAGAAATAAGTTATTTACTTATAGTTTGTATTAATGGCTTGGCTATAATATTCGTAGTGCTCACAATTTTAATTTTGTTGTGTTGCGTGAACAACATATTAAGTATGTATAACATGGTAAATAAGTTGTCAATTTGTTTGACATCCTGGTGGACAAAAACACTTTGAATAGTTTGCGCTACCACCACACTAGCTCCTTTTTTATAAACAAAATAATAATAATTATGAAAGAGTATAATAAATATCTTAGAAGCGTGCAAGACAAATTTAAGAAAGTATAGGACTATGGCTTTTATACCCTCCGATTGTATCTTCTCTGATATAATAAACAATACAAATTATTAATTTTTGTTTTTCATGTACCTGGATTTTTTGTCGTACACATTGCACTTGGTAAAAACCCCTACACTAAAGCTTTACATGTGTCCTTCCTTATGGAAAATTATCAGAAATGAGCAAAATAAATTAATGATTATTTCTTAA